CCCCCCCCCCCCCCTCTCTCTCTCACCGTTCCGGAGTCGAGGAGGCACCGCACGATGTCCGCCTTCTCAAGGCAGCCCGCGATGTTCACGTTCTGCCCTCGGGCGAGGTTGCGGACCTGGGGGATGCTGAGGCCCTCCAGCTCCTGCCGTCGGTACCGCGGCCGCCGCCCCCGCATCCTCAACCTCCTCTCCCTCTCGTACCCGGCGTCCTCCGTCTCCAGCTCGAAGCGGCACACGGGACACGTGCAGTGCAGCTCCAGCCACTCCCACACGCACTCTGCAGCAAAGTGTGACGCGGGAAGGACGGGCGGACGGCAAATTTTCGAGAGAAAAAGAGACGGAGACGATTGTCGGATGGCGCTGGTACGTGACTCAAGCCGCGTTATCGCAGGAACTACCTCGACTTTACGGTCGACGTAGCGCAGCCGCTCTCTGCGACGCGACCTGAGAGCAACATCTAGAGAAAGGGCATCGTCTCATATACATCGAACCCATACATCCGTCTGATTCCCTTTTCCTCGCCCCGAGGGGCACCGCTCTTATTCCCGCGCTGTCTGCAGCAGTGCCCAGCAATGCAGTGCCTTGGAGAGCGGTGCGGAAGAAAAGAGTATGCGTCGCGTACATGTGTCTCCACCAACACCAACACGAGCACAAGCACAAGCACAAGCCCAGAGCACGAAGCACACCTCCTCCAGGGGTCCCAGAGCATGGCGTCAACAACTATCTTTGTTTTCAGCTGCTCCGAGACTGACATTTTCTCATCGCAATCGATGCTACTAGTAAAATAAATACACCACAACACACCTCGGTGGAAGATGTGCGCGCACGGAAGCTTGACCACCGTCTCCCCTAGCTCGTGGTCCTCGAGGCAAACGCTGCAGGACCGATTGGTCTCCTCTGCCAAGTCGAGCGCTGCGATCTGCCGCGCGCGGCCCGTTTCAAGGCGATGAAAAAAAAAAAAAGTGTGTGTCAAAAGAAAGACCACAACGACAAAAAGAGAGTCAATACGAGACAACCCCATCAACACAGCAAGTTGCGGACGAGCAAAACAAACGCAAACGCAAGCATCAACGAACACGGACACGGCGCGATGACTGAGTCAAGACCAAGCCCAAAAGCACGGGCGACTGACTTCACTCACTAGACGCACACACTCCCTCGCGGGCCCTCGCTCGACCAAAGGTCGGGACAAATCGACCTCGGGTCCGCGCATGCGAAAGACACGTAAAAGACGCATCGGATCACTCATTCCGTTGGCTTGTGCTTCTTGCCAGATCTTCGCAACGAGCCGCACAGAACAACGCCAAACAAAACTTGTAGAATGCCGGATTGGCGGCAAGTCATCATTATCGTCCCGCGCGACTCGCCCCAGCCGAGCGTGCACCCACACCAGCAGCAACACCGATCTCAGGAGGCGTCAGAACAGAAGGCGCCGCCGTAGACATGCGCTGCAATTGGGCTTCTTCTGCGCCCTCGGTGCTTTGATTTTCTTTCTTGTATTGCTTCCGCTTTTCATCGCTTTTCGTGTGGCTGCTGTTTCTGCTTCCGCATGTCGGATTCTGGCCCCTTGAACCAGGCCCCCTGCCTTTTCCATTCCGCCCGCCTCTTCCGTCCAGCCGCCCCCACCCCCCGTCGAAGTTACACGCTCACCTTGACTTCCGGTATGTTCTTGAGAGCCATCCGGCTGGCTGGCGGAGGGCCCCGCTGTCTTCGCTCCTCTTCCTGTTCTCTGTTGGCAATGGTGTGGGGTGGTGTTGTTGGTTTTTTGGGTCATCCAGGTTGGACGAGAAGAAGCGGGGGAACGGGTGCGTGCGCGTGCGTGCGGGGGCGGGGGAAACAAGGATTAGAAATTAGATTACTACCACAAATACTTGCAACCACACACCGGCGATTGGTCTCTTGGTACCCTCGCCTTCTTTATCTCTCTTTCCCCCGCGTTCTCTCTTCGCCACGCTCGCCATACATCGCTACCACGCCTTTCTCTCTCTCTCCCTCTCCTCTCTCTCGCTCCCCTCTCAATCTCTCTTTCCCTCTTCACCACGATCGACGGTAGTGTGGCTAATCGGCGCCCACCCACTCCCGGCCTCTTCCATTGGGCGCTACTCAGCCGATGGCACCATTACTTCGCCAGTTGTACTGCGTGGGCTACGCGGGGTCAGAAACCTTTCAGGGCCGGCAAAATAACCCCCTGCTTACGTCCCATGCCGCGAGTAGACCTACAAGCCCTTCAAACCTTCCCTTCCAACCACCTGTTCAAGGCGGGGCTACTGCTGTACACCACCGGTAGAGCAGGGTGATCGCCACCAGGTTGACCATACATCAACTTCCAGGCGAGAGACTGCTACCACAAATAATGGTCCGGCAATCAATCAGACTCCGCGCGGCCAAAGAGAACATCCAGGATGGCAGCAGCCCCCGTGGACACTCAAGGACACGGGAACGACTTGC